TGTAGTTGTTGATACGCTTTACATACCTTGTTGAGAAATTTTACTAAAATATTTTTTAGTTAAAAAAATTAAAGTTCTGGCCTATTTGGAAACTGGTAATGTTACAGGGCAATGTAAAATGGGTTGGCCTGACTGTGGGTCCTCACCTGTGCACTTAAAAGGGACTAATGAGACTCAACTGTAGGCTCACACAAAAAGTTTAAGGGTTTATTTACAAAAAGAAAGCAGGGCCTCCCTGGTGGCACAAGGGGTTAAGAAGCAACCTATGAAGCTATCTGCAGCCATTACAGCACGAGTTCCATCCCCGGCCAGGGAGCTACCCACATGGCGCAGCAGACCTCTCCTTACTTGCCCGCTGCTCCCCTCAGCAATGTACTTCGGTCAGTCTGCCTTTTCTGCTTCCCTCTCTGTCTCTGGTGAATCCTCTCACCATCCACACCTCTGGCCTGTACCTCATTTCTTGTATACATCAATAAATAAATCTTTAAAAAAAAAAAAAAAAGCAACGACTCGGGGAGAGAGAGATGAATCGGTAAATGTGTCTGTTCTAGCAGTTCTGCTGAGCTGGGATGCCAATGGCACACTGAAAACCAGTGGAAAACCAAGGACCCCTAATGCCCACATGTCTGTTATATACCAAGCCTGGCTGCTTACCTCCACCCTCAGTTCGCAGCAATCCTTCCTGCAGTGGTCATGACATTATGGGATTTGTAGTCCTTGGTGTCTGTATCTCTTTGGTCTGGGTTGGGAGTAGAGTCCATAAAATCTGTGTTTGTGGAGTTCATTCAGGATATCTTTTCTTCCCAACAGTAAGAGCATTTTATCCTGCTTTGTCGAGGGTCATCTTCTACCTCCTATTCACAGGGTGGAGACAATCTTTTTCCTGTCTCTTATAATATCACTAACCCCTCACTAGGGCTTTATATAAGCTAATTAGCTCCTAAAAATTACTCTTCCAAAGAGCATTACATTGGGAGTTAAGGCTTCAACATATGATATGAATTTTATGAAAACAAAGGTTAGTCTCTTTTTCAGATTATTTTTACCTTATCCCATGCTTTTCTGTCTGGCTTTTACCTCCTTTGTTGGTCCTTCTCCAACCTGCCCTGCATTCTAGCCACAGTTTTTTTCTAAGCACTTAAGGATGTCATTACGTTACCATCTATTTTTCGTTACTTTTGATAAGTCTGTATTGTTTATTGGTTCCTCTATAAATGTCTTTTTATAAAGATTTTCTTGTTTTATAGTTTTAAATCTTCGAGCATTTATAATATCTGTTAGAACTCCCGTCTTCTCTGTCATTTCTGGTATTGTTTTTAATGTTTTCCCATTTGTAGTGGCTTATAATTTCAGGCATTTTCAGATGTCTAGTAATTTTTGGAAGGATACTGTAAATTTAGAATGTCATGGTATTGAGTGGATTTTAAGATCTTCCATTAAAGAGTGATTACATTTGGGCCTCCACTGGTGGTGTAGCGGTTAAGTGCTGCCTGCAGCCTCTGCAGCGCCAGTTCAATCCCCGGCCCCCGGCAAGGGTCCCACATGGCATGCAGTCCTCTCCTGCCGTGCCCTCTGCTCCCCTCAGCAGTGTGTTTCATCAGTGTGCCTGTTCTGTTCCCCGCTCTTGTTCTGGTGAATTCTCTCACCCTCTCGTGCTTCTGACTGTACCCAGTGCTTGTATAAATAAATAAATAAATCTAAAGAAAAGTGATTATATTTATTTTGGTAGGCATTTAAATTACTGGGTCAACTTTATTAGGGCAATCTAAAGCTACATTAGCATTATTAGTAAGGCAGGCCCTTCTAGGGAAGGTCTGCTGGTTACCCCAAATGGTTAGCATGATTTTTCTACTCCAGGCAGTATTCTGATATTCTGTCCTCTGTGAATGCTAGAATTTTTTGGCTTATAATTTCCCAGCATTTTTCTTTGCCTGACCCTATGCATGAGCTATAAGTATTTTGTCTTAAGACTCCAGGATTCTACTATGCAAAAAAATAGACTTCTTCAGATCTTTTTCTGTATAGATCCCTCCTCTCTGATAATTTGTCTCAAAATCTAGGTGCCTGAGCCTTCCAAACTCCCTGTCTAGTTGTTTATTGCCAGAGGGCAAGTTCCATGCCTTGACTGAAAGTGAAAATTGCTGCTTCTCATCTTGTGAATATGACATGTATTTTTTACACCAGCAGGCCCTTATACAAGTGTTTACTCTGGACAGTAAATTGATGCTTAGAAACTTCTCCAGTCAAAATGCAGTCCTTTTTTCTTTATTTGCACAACATTAACAGTTCTATATGTACTGGCAAATTATGGCCTGTATGTTCAGAGACTCTGTGGGCTATAAGTACATCATGATGCATCTCTAGCTGCTTGGGACTTAACTGACTGAGCTTTTACTGAATTTTCCTTCAGGTCATCAAATTCATATTAACAGTATATACTACTATCAGACTATAATTTTCTTTTTTGTTGTAAATATTCATCATTTCCTTTCTTGTGTGTTATGTATTACTTTAATTTTGCCTGCATATGTGATGGCCATTTTAGCTTTAATCACATGTAAGTTGTTTTGATACTTTTGTTACAAGGCAACCCTGATCAGTGGGTTGCCTGACTGTGGGTCCTTACCCGCATGCTTGAAAAGGACTTATTAATACTCAACTGCAGGCACACACGAAGGTTAATAAAGGTTTATTTACAAAAGAAGGGGAAATGAAGAAATGAATAACTCAGGGAGAAAAAAAGGGAGATAAATTCGTGAATGCGTCCTACCAGTTCTGCTGACCTGGAATCCCAATGACACTCTGAGAGCTGGTGAAAAGTAAAGAGCGAGAGCCCCAAGGCCCCCATGTCTAGTTTCATACCAAACCTGGCTGCTTAACTCCACCCTCAGGTCCCAGCAACCCTCCCTTTGGTGATGGGATTTGTCATTCCCAGTATCTTGATGGCTTTGGTCTGGAGTGGGGTGTGGAATCCACAAAAACTGTATGGAGTTTGCTGAGGACATGCTTTCCCCCTAACGCTTTCACATATAGTCAGTCAGTTTATGGGTTTAACCAAAATGCAGATCTTCTCAGCCAGTGAATTGTTTTCTGTTACTTTCATTACCAGCAATTTTTTGGTTAATGTGGTCTTACTTGTTTATAAGAAATATGTTGTTATCCAATTTTGGTGAAAAATTGGTTTAGGGACAGATTTTGGAAAATAGGTTTTGTTAACAAAAAAGAAGGAAGGCTAGAAGGAAAGAACTAAGTTATCTTGTGAAAACTCACAAATTGATAAGGAGCCTTTGTTTGACTCATCCTGGCTACTTAGAGAGAAAGAGAGAGAGAGAAAGAGAGAGAGGGAAGGAGGGAGAAAGGGAGAGGGGGTGAGGAGGAGAGGAGAGAGGAGAGAGAGACTGAGATGCTTTAGCCAGAAGGTGGAAGAAAATTTAAATCATTACTGTTATTTTACTGTGCATTGACTTCACTAAAATTTTAAATGTACTTTTTTCATTCCAGCAGTTTTATTCCAGATCTTTGCCCTTGAGCAAAAGAAATGTTAATGGGCCTTCTTATTACAAAATTAATATCCTGAAGGGAGTGGTTAAATAAAGTAAGATTTATCTATTCACAGTGTTAAAAAGTTAAAAATTATGAGTTAGATAAATATAAAACTATCATGGCGACTAGCAAACAATATAGTCAGATGGCTAAAGATGATCCCAAGAAACCAAAGGGCAAGATATCTGTATATGACTTCTTTGTGCAGACATGCAGGAAGAACATAAGAAAACCCAGAGGTCCCTATCAGTTTTACAGAATTGTCCAAGAAGTGTTTGGAAAAGTGAAAGACAGTGTCTGGAAAGGAGAAGTCTAAGTTTGTTGAAATGACAAAGGCAGATTAAATACACTTTGATTGGAAAATGAAGGATTATAGAACAGCTAAATTGAGGCAAGAAAGACCCTAATGCTCCTAAACAACCAATCCTGGCATTACTTTCTGAGACTTGGCAAAGAAACTGGGTGAAATGTTGAATAATTTAATTGACAGTGGAAAGCACACGTGCATAACAATAAGGCAACAGTGAAGCTGAAGGAAAAGTACAAGAAGGAAGTTGATGGGACCATAAATTGAAAGGAAAGTTTATGCAAAGGGTCCAGCTAAAGTTGCCAGGAAAAAGGAAAAACAAATATATTGAGGAGGAAGTGGAGGAGAGTGAATAAAAAACTGTTTCTGCGTCAAAAAATAAGTACAATAAAATAAAACCATCATGAATAGACACATAAGAAAAAAGTTATAGAATGTCTCATGTTACCATTTACTTTTTAATGTTTTTATAAATATAAAATTAAAATTACTAGTATTTAAAAAATAATATTATTGTATGCATTTAAATTTATTTTTAAAAATACTCTGGAAGGCTATATCATATACTGACATGATAACAGGGCTTACCTCTAAACACGGCTTTCCATTTGGGGAAGGGTTCTACAGTGGAGGGCATTTAATTTTTTTTCATTATTTGCATTTAAGAAAGATATTTCTGTATATTCTGTATCCAGAAATTCTTGGAGCTTTTTACTTGAAAGTTTTCATATATTTCAAAGTGCTTCCTGTATTTAGTTTTGAAAATGTTAATCTTTATATTAAAGACTTCATATTTTTATTTTTAAAAAAGTGGATTCAGTCATGTAGATGGACAAAAGTGTTCACACACAATATTATAGTTTAAAGATACTTGATGTGACTATAGATCTGAGGCATCAGCAGGGGAGGAAGAGGGAGAGGAGTCAAAACAGAGGAGGGAATAGCACTAGGGACTGTGGTGATAGTTCATGGGTGATATTGTAGTAGGAGAATTATGGGGTCTACACCTGAGGGGAGAAATCAAATATTGTACTAAAATGAACAATGATATAAAGTTTCATCAATAAAGATAATTGATGTATATAAATACTAGGATTGAAAAAGCTAAATATTTTAATTAGTTTATAATTATAATGTGCCTCTTACCTAGTGCGGCTGGTGGTGAAGTCTTTGACCAGTGTGTTGCAGACAGAGAAGAAGGCTTTAAAGAAAAAGATGTTCAAAGACTCCTGAGGCAGATTTTAGAAGGTGTTTATTTTTTACACACTCATGATGTAGTTCATCTTGACTTAAAGGTAAGATCTGAATTAAATTACATTTTTGAGATTGCTTGACAATGATACTCCAGATATAAGATATTGAATAATGAATGTGTTCAAACATGTATCAAGTTGTGTGTTTTATTGGGTAGCAGGGTATAAGGATTGTGTTTACTCTTATCTAGCCAATTTGTTTTATTGAGGAGATAATGTATATGTGTGTATATTGAAAGATAAATAATACATTGATGGACCTTGGAGGATATTGCTTAGGTAGGTGAAGGCTTCCTGATAAAGACAGGCTTGAGATAGACCTTTAAAAAAAAGTTGGGATTTAAATAGGCAGAAAAGACTAGGAGAAAGTCTGCTTACTAGAGTTAGGAATACTTCTGTGACTTCTGGGTGTGGGCAAAAAAATAAGGTAGTTTTTTTACAGGGCAGGGAGAGGGGCACTCTAGACCCCCCAAACCTGCCTGCTCTATATAGGTTCTGCCATCCGCCGCATCAACACAAAAACATATGAGACTTTAATGAAGAGGAACATTAATACAATTAGTAAACATTACAGGAAAGGCAAAGAATATAGTTTCTAAATCCAGCACCCAAAGTTACCCGTCCCCTCGTGGGTTAAAGTCCACCCAAACAGGATTGGCCCAGAGCAAGGCCCCAAAGCCTGCCACAAGTCTAAAGCACCTTCCAGCGGGGACCCATAGAAAAGGATCAGAAACAACCAGACAAGTCTGGGAGGAAAAGAGCAAAATCAAAATCAAGGTAAAAGCTGCCATTGTTATCCTCCCATGGGTCTCTCACCCACATCTATTTCAACCAGTCCACAACCAAAATGTAAGCGCAGTTTCTTCACGTGTCTCTCTGCAACATGTGCCTCCTCCAGGTCTCCTTCTGGCTCTATCCTGCTTCCTTTCTTCCTCAGTCTCCTCTGCATCGTCTTCTCTCTTTAGCTCCACCCTCCCTTGGGTGGGGCAGGGAACCTGGAACTTCCCCTTTTCCTAGGGACCACCCTGTTACAGTTTTACTGGAAGTGAGATATTGGATACACTGAAGGTTGAGAAAAGACCAGATTGCAAGAGCTCTTAATGTCATGAAGGAGGTAGATTTTTGAGCAGGAATATTTGAAAAGCAGTGCTCTCAATAAAAACAGGCAGCAGTAAATAAAATAGAGAATTCAAGAGATTAGAAGCAGATTAGAATTTTAAATTCAAATTTAAATTAGGAAAGGAAAGATAGGAAAGTGGAAAGAAAATCTAAAGGGCAATCTATCAGTTACGATCCTTTCAAGTGATCAAAATACCAACTGAAAGTTTGGTAAGCAAAAAAAATTTCATTGGCCAAAAAAGCTCAGGAATAATATATCTCTAATTAAAATATTGCCAATACTTGATTTTTCTTTAGCCTTCAGCTCTGCCTTCTTACAATGGCAATAAGGTAGTAGATAGTTAGATACTACTGTTTTAGCCTCTACATTGTCCAGGAGAGTCATCAGGAAACAGCTGATCACTGTTCACTAGCTCTTCAGAAGTTCTGATTCACTCTCATCAAAGCAGTTTAAATCAACTCAAGACTACTAAGTGTGCTGGGGATTATAAGACACTGACTTGTCACGCCAGTGCCATTGTCATATACTCCAATTCTAAAGGGCTAAACACCACTTCCCATCCCAACTTTCATGTGACTTAGAGTGGGGAGGGGATAGATTTTCAGACAAGTTCTATTTCTGAAAAATTGACCAATGGTAAATGTCCATTGCAAGTATTCTTGATTTACTTTTTCAGGCATCTGTGCAGAAAAGTTTAAGATCCCTGTTGGTGTTCTAATGGTTACTTCTGTAAAAAGTCCAGGTGTGTCTGTGGAAATGAAATTGTCTTCAAACATAAAAAACATTACACTCCAGTTTCTTAGCAACCAGAGGAGATGGGGTTAGGAAAGAAGGTAGCTTCAGGAGGAAAATCCTGGGCCCCAGAAATGCTTTTCTGCCCTGGACTTCTTCAGTCTCATTTCACTCATCATCAGCCCAACTACCTTGACTTTTAACAAGAAAGAGATGCTTTGTGGCAGTGATTCTCCAACATTTGCATAGGTCAGGATTACCTGCAAAGGTTTGTTAAAACCAGTTGCTCTACCCAACTCCAGAGTTTCTGATTCAGGGTAGCTAGATGCCACTTAGAGAACTGCTGTATGGCACCTTATGTATACTATATACCTTATGTGCACCATGTATTATTCATAAAAGTGCTTACTTATATTTTGTTGCATGAAGAGATACTCAAGGAACCATGTACAGTTCTAATGTGGCTGTTGACTTTTAAAGTCACTTTGAAGTTCCATTTGAAATTAGGTGGAAGGGTAATGGATATCTTCAAATACTTGTTTTCTAAAGAAAAATATAGGAGAAAAAACAATTTGGGAGTCTTTTTTATTCTTTTTAAAAGATGGCAACTGGGCCTCCCTGGTGGCGCAGGGGTTAAAGACAGCACTATCAAGCAATTGGCAGCCACTGCAGCATGAGTTCGAGGCACGGCCAGCCAGGGAGCAACCCACATGGTGCAGCAGACTTCTTCTGTCTTGACCGCTGCTCTCCTCAGCAGTGTATTTTAGTAGATCCAGCTGTTCTGCTCTCTGCTCTGTCTCTGGTGAATCCTCTCACCCCCCACACCTCTGACCTGTACCCCAGTTCTTGTATGCATAAATAAAATAGATACATAAATATTTATTTATTTAGGAAAGTGGAAAGAAAATCCAAAGGGCAGTGTATCAATTATGATCCTTTCAAGTCATCAAAATAAGTATTGGTATAGAAATAGATAAATAAATATAAATTAGATAAATAGATAAAATAAAATAGATAAATAAATAAATATTTTGTTTAATATAAATATTTTGTTTATTTTAAAATAAATATTTTATTTAAAATAAATAAATATTTTGTTTAAAATAAATAAAATAAATCTTTTATTTATACATACAAGAACTGGGGTACAGGTCAGAGGTGGGGGGATGAGAGGATTCACCAGAGATAGTGTGGGGAGCAGAACAGGCAGATACATTGCTGAGGGGAGCAGCGGGCGAGTCAGGAGAGGTCTGCTGTGCCATGTGGGTATCTCCCTGGCCAAGAATCGAACTCATGCTGCAGCGGCTGTGGATAGCTTCATAGGTTGTGTTTTAACCTTGCGTCGCCAGGGAGGCCCTAAAATAAATCTTTAAAAAATAAAAAATAAATAAATAAAAGATGGCAACTTATTTATTTTTACAATTTGGAAATAATCAAACAAATCTGGACATAGGAAGCAGTCAATCTATATTTGAAAAACTTAGCTTTGAACCAAAATAAGCATTGCTGATAGGCAACTAGAATACCACCAAGAAATCATTATCTTTGTTTAATTTCTTCAGTTTAATTCCACTTGTCCCATGGGTAGGCAGCTGAATATTAAGAGCAAAATTATGTAGGATTGATTTTTTTTAAGGATTTATATATTTATGCATACAAGAACTTGTGTATACAGGCCAGAGGTACGGGCGGTGAGAGGATTTACCAGAGACAGAGTGGGGGACAGAACAGGCAGACTGACTGAAATACACTGCTGAGGGGAGCAGCAGGGGCGACAGGAGAGATCTGCCACACCATGTGATATTCTCGCCAGCCGGCCAAATCGAACTTGTGCTGCTGAGGCTATGGACAGCTTCACAGCACTGCGCTCAACCACTTGCACCTCCAGGGGAGGCCCAAGAGTTTATTATATTTTGACCACTGAGTAGTATTCCATTGTGTTTGTAAATTCCACATCTTTTTATCTATTTACCTTTTTGGGATATTTAGGTTGTTTCTATGTCTTGGCTATTGTAAATAGTGCTGCAATAAACATAGAGGTCCAGGTTTCTTTTTCAATAAGTGTTTTTTGTAACTGTGTTTCCATAGTTACTGGAAAGCAGCATAAGAGGTTCCTTTTTCACCATATCTTTCCAACACTTGTTTCTTCTGTTTTTTTTTGTTTTTGTTTTTGTTTTTTAATTTTATATGGGCCATTCTCATAGGTATAAGGTGGTATCTCATTGTGGTTTTGATTTGCATTTTCCTGATAAGAGGTGATGTTCAGTATTTCTTCATATGGCTGTTGGTCCTTTACACTTCTTCTCTGGAGAAGTGTCTATTTAGCTCTTCTTCCCATCTTGTTTTTATTGGGTTGTTTGTTTTGTTGTTTTGTGTGAGCTCTTTGACATCAGTCCCCTGTCAGATATGTGGAGTGCAAGTATTTTCTCCCATTCAGTATGGTGTCTCTTTGTTTTGGTTGTCATCTCTTGCTGTACCGAAGCTTTTCAGTTTCATGTAGTCCCAGCTGTATTGTCCTTTGTTTTCCTTGTTTCTGGAGGTGAGTCTTCAAAGATGACTTGAAGTTATGCCATGGATTATTTTGCCTATGTTTTATTCTATATTTTTTTATGGTTTCAGTGATTACATCTAATTTTGAGTTTATTTTTGTGTATTGTGTGAGGCAGTAGTCTAGTTTCATTCTTTTACATGTGGCACACTGGTTTTTCCAGCACCATTTATCATGTGGTTTTATTTCTGTGCTTTTAATTTGGTCCCGTTGGTCTGTGCATATGTTTTTGTTCCTGTACCATGGTGTTTTTATTATAATGGCTTTTGTGATACAGCTTGAAGTCTGGGGATGAAATATCCACCTTCTTCCACATTTTACTGAGGAGAGCTTTGGCTCTTTGGGGTTTTTTGTGATTCCATGTAGTTTTAACAGTGTTTGTTCCATTTCTGTGAAAAATGCCACTGAGATTTTTATTGGCGTTGCATTGACTCTAAATTACTTTTGGTAGGGTGGCCATTTTGATAAAGTTGATTCTTCCGATCCATGAGCAGAGAATGTCTATCCATTTCTTTGTGTTTATTTCTTTTTACAGTGTTTTGCAATTTTCCTTGTATAGGTCAAACACTACCTTTGTTAGATTTGGCCTCGGGTATTTAATGTATTTAGGTACGGTTATGTTAGGAGTTGGCGCCTCAACTC